GGTGGGGCCAACATGATTATTGAGAAGAGGAGAGAGAAAAGAAAGGGAGTAAAATCTAACTATCTCTGAACCACTATGAGATATTGCACACTCACTGTCTTATTGAATACACCACCACTTGACGCGTCTGATGCCACGATGCTTTGCAATATACGGTTGTTATGAGTCACAACATGTGTCACTTAAGATTGTAGATGCCTCCCATATGTTGTTGCATGTAACATATCAGTCAATAATTTTTTTTAATAATATTTAACATTGTTAAAATTTTGAATTATCTCCAAGTCTAGTTGCTAATAACCAAAAAACCATGATGAAATGATAAAAAAGCCCATAGACTCAAATCTAAGAAAATTTTAGTTTAAGGATAATTTAGTAATTTTAATTTTAAAATTAAAATGAAATTATGAAAAAGACTTTAATTGCAAGTTAAATGAATTTTTTATGGGTTATTTAGTAATTTTACTATGAAATAGAAAAATGAGATGATTGATACGCCTCTGATTAATATGGTAATGATAAACAAATCCCACAAAAAAGATTGTATTATCTCTGAAACCAAGTTTTGCATTTTGCTTAAAAAAAAAATAGTCATATCATTATGTGAATCTATAATGAGATGGGAGTATGTGCATGGTGAATAACTAAGCTCTTTTAGCTTTCATTTTAATATGTATGTCTGTTAATAATTGTGCCATTATTAGCTAGAATTGTAGAACTCTTATGTGTTTTTCATCTCTTTTTTCTATATGTGCATAGTGAATAACTAAGCTCTTTTAGCTTTCATTTTAATATGCATGTCTATTAATGATTGTGTTATTATTAGCTAGAATTATAGAACTCTTATGTGTTTTTCATCTCTTTTTTCTATAATGCACGTGTATGTGTGCACACACACACACGAGTGCTATTGTATGTTAGATACATATGATTAAAAGTTTCTAAGAAGCTTTTGGTTCTCACACGCAATCAACTCATTTTCATTCACTTGAATCCTATACATACATTAAAAAAAAACTAAAAGGGTTCAATCTTTCATCATGAACCAACATACGAATCATTATGAATTGGAATCACAAAATGACTATTTTGTCATTTTCAAACAAAATCAACAAACTTGTTGCTAGAGGTAATATGGCCTTTTCAATATGATCAACATAGTAAAATTACTTAGTCACATTTAAAAGCAAAAAATATTAAAATGATATCCATGTGCTTTTTTGTTCTCTTCTTTTTTATACCACAATAAAATAACTAAATTACTCTTAAAATAAAAAACTATTAGGTTGGTGTTCATGAGCTTTATTGTATTTTCAACTTGATTTTTAGATATAACTAGTTTGATAGAGGGGTAATTTGATATTTTAATAAATATAAAATATTATTTTTAAAAAATAGCTAGTATGTAACATATACCCCAAAATTGAGGGAGATGTTCGTGCCTTTTGGTTGATGTAAGGCATCTTCCAGCTGCTGAATAGTGGCTTACAATGTGACGTTTAAATAATTTCTATTCCTAGATGGTACGTGTGGTCAATAGACCTTTAGTTTGAAGCTGATAATCTTTTTATTTTTTACTCTTTTTTTTCTTTCCTTTTCTCGATTTCTAGGCCTAACTCTTCAAATTTTTAAAGTAATACTTTAATTTGTTTTTGTTTTAGTTTAGGTTTGCTTTAGCCCAAAATTAATATTTTAGAATTGTTTTTCTTACAATGATTGCTTATTTATCCTAACTACATAAGGAAATGAGGGTTGAAGTATTTATTGACAAATTGCTTTTGGGCTAAATTATTTCTTTATATTAATCTAAATTATCATACTATTTTATTTTATTATTTGGATATTTACATTTAGTTTAGGACTTGTAATTTAGTTTGAGTTTGTTTTTTTTCCTAATCAATGTTTTAGAACTATTTTAGGCATTAAACTTGTTTTAGTTGATTATCAGCGCAATCCATTAATTTATAACCTAATAAGGGTCCATTAGTATTATTTAAAAGGACTATATTTTTTTTGTTACAAAATTCAACTTTCATGATATTTTGAATAAACTTGTATTTTATGTGATACAACACTTTTTTCTTTGCTGGGACAAATAATAAATTGAACTTATTAAGACATAACTAACCTTATGGCATCATCCTTATCTTCTTGTTTGTGATTCCCTAGTCATTGTGTGGAAGTTTATTTTAATAGTATTGGTGTTTTTGGTTCAGGTAATCTTGGTGTTACATTTCTATCAAATTTGATTTTGACTTTTTATAATTGTATTAATCTTACTTGTGAGTTTTTGAATCTTTATATTCAAAGGGTTTGCATTAATTGGTATTAGAGCAATGCTCCAGAAATCAAATTATATTTTTTTTTGAAATTTTGTTTTTTGTTTTATATTTTGCATTTAAATTATCTTTGATTTTAATTTTTTACTCCTTTTGCTTGTGACATCTACTATTACATATCAGTAATACTAAATTTATAAAAAAAACAAGAAAAAAAATGTTAAAAAGCTAAAGATCCAGTTTTATCAAAAAAAATATTAATATAAAAAAGATTGAATCAAACCACATTAAATTCATTTCAAATTTGATATCGTGGGGCCTTTTGGTACAATAACATAAAATATTAAATTTGGAGTAATGTACACTTTCTTTACTTTGCATTTAAAATTTAGATATTAAATTGCACAAATAGATTTGAATTACATCAACTTATTAAACATGTTTTGGCGGCAATAAAAAATGACCTCAATAGCATACTAAAATTATATTTAGGATATTTAAGAGTTATTACATTTATATTCATTAATTTAACATTTAACTTATTTCACATCTTAAAAAATATTCATATTTCATTCGATTTTATTTGTTACTAGCAAAATCAAAATCGCTCCTAAGCATGATTATGCAACCAAGATCCCACACATTAATCATTTGTTCTCTATTATTCATAAATATTTTATATAAAAAAGCATAATTTCTAATGTCTATGGAACCATAAACTACTTTATATTGAAAGAAGTAAAGGGATCAACAAGCAGCTCATACAGAGACTCAAATTGCTAGCAGCACTATGTTGAACTAAGAATGATGGGAAACCTGTAGGTTACTTTTAAAGTACAAGAATCAAATTACCAAAATAATACAGACGTAATTATTGCCACGACAACAACCCACCTCTCAATTCAAAGCCCATGGAGTATTGAAAAAGATGAAACACACCCATATATATATTTGAGCATTTTTATTAATTTTTGCAGTATTTAGTCATATTTCTCTTCATGGGCATGTTTATATATCTCGATTTTCGTATTTGGAGGATACAATTATATGTGAAAAAAATAATTATAATAATGATAATAAAATTTGATTTAATTTAGTAATTATATATATACACTAATTAAATGCTATTTAGATATACAAAAAAAAAATCTAATAGTACATCTTGACTATGTTCATAAATTATAAGAAGTATAAATCAACTTTTAAGTGATCCTATAATATCTTCAAACAATGAATTACTTCAATTCATCTACAGATAAAGAATCATCATGATATTTATAAGCATAAAAATTCATTGATAATTGAAAAGAAAAACACCATACAATTCAGAACTTTCATAAATGGATGATTTGAATGCATTGTCAATTAATAACCTTTCATAATATAAATTATAATTTTAAATATAATACTTAAATAAATATATTCTAACACGTAGTTATAATTTATCATATTCTTAAAATTGTCATTATAATTATGCTTATGAACATACAAACAATTAAGAACATACGAAACAAGAGCATGGAAAAGCTTTCATGTTTATCAAATATTTTGGAATTGCATGAATGTTATGCCATACTCATGAAGTTCTCCTCAGCCAATAACGTGTATGGTTATATAATTCTTAAAAGGTTCCTTTTAATAAATTGCACGTATATGCATATCTATATTTCAAAAACTCTTCCTTTCTAATTCTTTTCTTTTCTTTTTATTTTATTTTATTATAATGGAAAGTGGAAGAATAAGATAAAATTCCTCAATTACAATCTCGGGTTCATAAAAAATTGAAGAAAAAAACAATAATCTTTGAGTGAAAAAACATGAGTTCTCAAACCTAATGTTCTAATACAATATGTAAACAATTCTTTAATTGTAAACACGCATAATGTCTATGGTACTAGAATTTTACATTCAAATAATTATTTAAAGAAAAAAAAATACTTTAATCCATTATAAGCATTTAGAATTTGAAACTTGAATGTAATTTAATAAAGAAAATTATATTTCTCTTTAATTCTTGATTGTTTTATGTAAGTTTTAGATAAAATAAAATGTTAATTTATAGGGTACGTAGAGCAATGACTAGTTTTTTTAATAGACTCTCTGTAAATCACACATTTATTAAATAAAAAAAACTACTACTCATATTAATCAATAAGATTTTAGCGTTAATATTTATTAAATCATCCAAGAACACGTTATTTCATTCATGTTGGCCACGCATGGAATGCTCCAAATGCCAGCAAATATAGACTAGAATATTACATTCATTATATGTATACCTGTCAACCCATTCTATACTAGCTAGAATTGCAGAACTCCGATGCGTTTTCCATTTCTTTTTTATAAAGTATATATATCATGCGAGCACTGTACGCTGCCTGTCTCATATATATATGTGAAGCAGCTTCTTGATGAAAGGTTTCTTGGAGTTTGGTTCTTACACAGGATAAGCTCACTTTTATTGACTTGAATCCTATATATACATGTATACTGTTTTGGGTCACCAAACTTCTGCCATATTTCTGGGAAAAAAAGGTTTTTTTTCATGGAAGATTTTGGAACGGCAAGTTCCTCCATTTATGAAAGCCCATATCCATGGTTAGTGCCATACTTCGGAAAGGATGGTCTCTTGATTCTGAATCTCTTTTTATACTAGTTGTAAAACTCTTCTGGGGCCTATAAATACTCCTGCACTCTTCGAGAGTACTCTTCATTCCAAACATGGCTCTCCGCCCAAGCACTAAAGCAGCTATGGTATCGATACTATCCATTTTTGTCTTCTGTTTTCCTCCAATTGTTCTCTCCGAATCCTTCAGACATCTTCTTGCCATCCACAGGCTTCGGTCCTGAATCCCTTGCCTTTGAAACTCCTGGAGGAGCCTTCTATACTGGTGTTAATGACGGTCTTGTTCTTAGATACCAGCCACCTACTGGCTGGACAACTTTTGCCTTTACCTCACCAAACCGGTAAAACCCTATGTCACACACACCTTAATTATAAACCAGAATTTCTCTCCTTTTTTTCTTTAGTATTATAGACACTAATCCTTTCCTTATATTAGTTTTAAAAAATGATCGGAATAACTTGCTGATGATCAAATATATTGCTGCCTATTTTCTCAGGTCGATAGCACTTTGCAATGGCACCACTGATCCCGATAAAGGACCTATCTGCGGAAGGCCTTTGGGTTTGGCGTATAGTCCTTTCACAAAATTGCTCTACATAGCCGATGCATATTATGGACTCTTAGTTGCTGACTCAAACGGGAGACTTGCTACACAAATTGCCACCAGTGCTGAAGGACAACCTTTCGTCGTTTGCAATGCTTTGGATATAGACCCTTTCACAGGAAACATCTATTTTACAGATGCTAGTGCTGTCTATGATCTAAGGTCATCAGTTAATTTACACTAGTAGTGTCCATTTTCTTTTTGTTTGGAAAGAAACGAGTTATAAAAGATCAAACATTGCATGAATTTTTGCGTCTCATTTCGCAGGAATTCCTCGAAAGCTCTTCTTGCCAATGACTCTACAGGAAGGTTATTGAAATATGACGTGAGGACAAATCAAGTCACCGTGTTACTGAGAAATCTTTCGGTAGCAGTGGGGGTTGCAGTCAGTAAAGACGGTGGGTTTGTCCTCGTCTCAGAGTTTGTTGGCAATAGGATTCGACGATATTGGCTCACAGGACGGAATGCCGGGACTTCAGATATATTCCTAAGCAACCTTAACATTTTGAGGCCAAACAACATCAAGAGAACTAGTTTGGGCGATTTTCTGATTGCAGCTGCAACTGTTAGACAAGATTCACAAACACTGGTGCCTGTAAGAGTCAGGGTCAACGAGCTTGGTAGAATCTCGGCGACTGTGTCTCTTGAGGCACAGTATGGAAGTACCCTCATCAGCGAAGCTCAACAGTCTGGTCTCTCGTTGTATGTTAGCTCAAGGGGTGTGAATTTCGTTGGTGTTTATACTCTTTAACAAGGTCCTCAAATAATACGAAGCATGCATACTATGTGATGCATCTAAATAAAATATTTGACGTAAAAGTCTTTCTGTGTACTTTCTTTTGCAGTTATAATAAAAGGGTATCGATAAATTTATCGGATCCGAAAGATGATGCCCTTTCCGGGCTTACTATCCGCTGCCTTTTTATGTGATCATGGATGTTTTGCTGAACCAAATAAGAACTGCATCTCTGGCAATAATTTACTGAACCCCAAAATCACAAGAATAGAAGACAATGGACAGAGAACAATCAAATGTCTCACATTTTGGCGTAATTTATAGACAAATGTCAAAAATTATTATCCTGTGAAAATTATTATAATAATTAATTATCACTTAAAAATATATTTTTATTAAAGTTTTATATTATTATTTTATATTTGAAGTATCAATAATTTCATAACTAAAACATGTTTTATAATAATATATCTAATAATATAAGATATCTTTAATTTGTGGTAAATGTTCATTTTAAATATAGACTTATCACATAAATAAAAGAATTGATTGATGAGTTTAAGAACTGAAATTGAAAGGACAAAAGATGACCAAACTTAGAACAAAAAAGTTGGTGCAATCCAAACCAGAATATTATTCAGTAATTGAGTCATATTTGGAGCTGTAGATCTTGGATTTAAGTTTATTTTATATGATGGAAAGGTAAGACATAAGCCTACAACTTTCATATGGAGCCCAAGATTTAAAAAGGTCATTTACAAGTCCAAATTGTAGCAACATCAAAGAAGTCTGAATATATCCTGCAACCCGAACACTGTTCAGTGTTTGGCTCATATTTGGATTTATAGAAGTCCAAATAACCTCTATTTTTTTTCCTGGAAAGCTGAGACAATTTCTTACAATTTTAACGTTTTCAAGTGGTTCCAATTATGATGTTATCAATAACGTTTTGGCTAGACAAAAGAAGATAAGGACTGTCACCAAGTCAAGAGTTGGCCACCCACTCATCAATTAGTCATCAAATCAATAGTTCCTAAGGAGGCATTTACCATGCATTTAAGCATCTTGATCTCTAGATCAAAATCATGCTTTTGCTTTCTCTCTTTGTATTTTTGTAATGCTTAAGTTTTATTTTCATTAATATCTTGTTTATACCTTTCATTTCCTTTCCTTTACTTAATTAATTTTTATCTTATTTATGTTCTTATCTTGTTTACTTATATTTCTCTCTTTCATTATGTTTAACTAAGTTTATTATGTCAAGGTGAAAAAGTTACACTAATGGTGTAAGAATAAGTAGTGTAAACTCAATATGGACTTTAATGTTTGGTACTAACATGTTTTGTATTTGTATCTTGTTCACTCTTTAATACTTTGCTTGTTAAATGAATAATCTAGATTTATATTGTATAACACTTGGTACAATAAATGCTTGGCACTTTCATAGCCCAACAGTATGGTATAACCTACACCTATGCTATGAAAGGAACTTGATTTGTTGTTAACATAAGCTATAATCATGAATGCCTGACGAGATTTACAAGTATTAACATTAATAAAATAAGATAACTAATGTAATCATGTTAACAATTTATAATTTGATTGTAACCTCCTTTGTGTGTGGTTTCCAATTAAATAATAAGAGTTTATACTATACTTATTTGACATACCATTAGTGGATCCTCTAACCTTGATATTTGTTGTTATTATTATTTAATCTTCCATTTCAAAGTTCTCATCAGCTTCTTCTTCTTCTTCTTTACTATTATTATTATTGTTATTGTTGTTGTTGTTGTTGTTGTTGTTGTTATTGCTGTTATTGCTGTTGTTGTATTATTGTTATCTATTATTTATACAATTAACCTCCCTTTGGTTCTATCCCGGTCTTGCCGAGTTATTTATTACTTCGATACTTCTGCACTTGGAAGAAGACATCAATCTTTTGGTCGTGTCAAGTTTTTGTCGTCGTTGTCAGGGAGGTAAGTTCTTGTATAGATTATAGTATTTTTTTTATACTTTTCTTGTATATAACTTTGTTTCTTCTTCTTTTATTTTCTTCTTTTTTTAATTCTATTCCTACACGTGCATGAGAGTGTGGTCGCGTACATTAAGTGGTAGACTTTGTAGGGTATCCTCATCATTTTCAGAAAATATGATTGAAGAAGATAATCAGTCACTTTATAATAAGAATACTATGTTAGAACACTTAAAGACCATATGAATCCCACAAGAATAAATGCACCATCATGCATAGTTTTTCCTCCTAATGCATCTCATTTTAATTTTAAGCTAGACATTATTCAACTTTTACCTTTTATTCATGACTTAGATTTAGAAAATCTATACTTGCATTTAAAAAAATTTGAAGAGGTTTGTAACACCTATAATGACTTAAATTATAGCATGAACACCATCAGATTAAAACTTTTTCTTTTTTCATTAAAAGATAAAGTAAAAACATAACTATAAAATTTGAGACTAGAATCCATTTGTGCTTGGGATGAAATGCAACAATAGTTTTTAAAGAAGTTTTTCCTATCTCACATAACAAACTCTTTCAAAATACAAATCACCACTTTCACTCAAAAATCAAGAGAAACATTTTACCAATATTGGGATAGGTATCGAGACTTGCTTAATACTTACCTTCATCATGGTTTTGAAATATGAAGATTGGTTTCATATTTTTATGAAGGGTTAACACCTAGAGATAGACAAATGGTTGAATTGATGTGCAATGAAACTTTTGAAGATAAAAACCCTTATGATGCAATAGAGTACTTAAACTTCTTAGCTAAAAATACTCAAAATTAGGACACCGCGGGTAATTAAGAGGCACTGAGTAAAACTCAGCATCATACATCTAGTGGAGGCATGTATAACCTTAGAGAAGATCATGACCTCCAAGCCAAGTTCACATTTTTAGCTAGAAAAGACGAGGCACTAGAATTGAAAAAGAGTGATCATTTAAAATCTGCTAAAAACATTATGTGTCAAATATGTGAAATAAATGAACACTCAACCAATGACTGTCCAACCTTGTCTTCTTTTAAGGAATGTCTCCATGAACAAGCCCATGCTTTAAATAGTTTCCAAAGGCCAGGCCACAACCCATACTCGTAAACATACAACCCTAGTTAGAGAAATCAGCCAAATTTCAGTTGAAAGAGTGATAATAACAATGTACAAACTTCACAACCATTGTTTCAAGCACACCATAATTTCCAAAATTCTTATGGATATGCACCTCCTTATGCTCCACCTCCTAGAAGAAATCTTGAGAAAACACTGCATGCATTCATTGAAAATATAGAGATAATTAAAACTCAACTTGCTTAAAACATGACAGATTTTGAAGATACTCTTGCAAAATTGACATCTGCTCTCAGTTTTCAAGAGAAAGGTAAGTTTCCATCTCAACTACAATAAAATCCTAAGGGGCAATAAATACAAATGCAAGTAGTTCTAGAAGCCAACACATGGATCAAGTCAAATCAGTCACTACTTTTTGAAGTGTTAAGGTTATTGAAAAACTCACTCTTGAACCTTGTGAGAAAGATGATGAGTCAATCTCTAAAGATAAGGAAGGGGTTGAATTTGAAAATTGCAAAGAAAAGACTAATTCCACACCAGCACTTCCATTTCCTCATACCATGATCAAATAAAGAAAAGTCAATCACAACTCTAAAATCTTTGAAACTTTCAAATAGGTAAGGTTCAATATACCTTTACTGGATGCCATTAAATAAGTTTTTTTGTTATGCTAAATTTTTGATAGATCTATAAATTTTCAATATACCTTTATTGGATGCCATTAAACAGGTTTTTTCTTATGCTAAATTTTTGACAGATCTATGCATTGTGTTGTTACCTAATATTTGACCCACCTATTTGATAAAATTTTCAGAAGATCCAAAAATAGCAAAAAATAAAGAAAATCCAAAAAATATGTTTTTAATATATTTGCATCATTTCAAGCATTTTCAACTTTTGAAAACATGACATTGGAGATGAATATTTTCAACTTTTGCAAGTAACTTGGAGATGATAATGATTTACAAGAAGTAAATCATATTAAAGAATTGGTTTATGATCAACTTGAATCTACTTTAAGTAAAATTAAGTTTGATGAATTTGAAGATGTGCAAATGATTTATTCTCAGGAAGAAATCACAGATGAAAAAGGCACTAAAAATATTGATGCAGATCTTGTGTCAAAAGTGACAACGGATTTGACATCTAACATCACACCAATCGATGATTACTTTCCCGACGAATCCTTACTTTCTCTTAGTCCAATGCCTTGGTATGATAAAAATAATAATTTTCTTACCTTAGGAGATTTATCAGCTCATTGGAGTACCGAAGACAAAAGAAAATTTTTGAGCGACATGCAAAACTTTTATTGGGATGACCCTTACTTATTCAAATATTATCCTGATCAAATATTTCAAAGATACATTCCCGACAACGAGGTAAGTAGTGTCATTAAATTTTGTCTTTCTAAAGCATATGAGGATCATTTCTCATAAAAAAAGACAACTGTAAAAATTTTACAATGTCAATTTTATTAACCCACCATGTTCGCGGAGTCACATGCATTCTACAAAACCAATGAAAATTACCTCTTTGTAGTTCGACCCCCGTCTTGCCGGGTTATTTATTACTTCGACACTCCTGCACTTGGGAGAAGACATCAATCTTTTGGTCATGTTAATAACCAAACCAGTTACACGAGACTTTGTGTTGAATATTAGACTCAAAATTATTAACAAAAGTTTCTAGCTCCTACGCCTGAAAGGAAAAGAAAAGAAAAATCATATTACAATTTTTCGATACACTCTCGCTAAATGTAAACTTAAGTTATGTTGAAAGAAAATTAGTAAACTTAAGTTATGTTGAAAGAAAATTAGTGAAGTAGTTTAATATAGATAACAATGCTAAATTGCAAAGCTAAATAACAAGGAGAAATTTGAGAAGAAGATATATTTTTTTTAAGTGGTTTCTCTTCTATACACTTACTTTCTATCTTGTACGCTTATGTTTTCATTACAAGTTTATTTATAAGCCTAAAATCCTTGGAAAAAAAATTAAAATAAACAAAGAAAAATCTATTTTGAATACAAAAAATAATTATACTGACTTAATTGGTTCATTACTTTCTCTGTTTTTTAGAAAAATTATAAATCTAGTTTATTTTCAACACCTACTTTAAACTTGATTTCATATAACTATCAACATATCTCTCACCTTAGCAAAAACATTATGTTTTGAAAATATTTGCAACTTGATGATCTTGGTTCTTCATATAATTGACTTCAACTTTCTTGTTTGTAATGTAATCTTGTAGGTAATGAAATCTTGCGTTAATGAGTTTACTTTTGTCATGAAATATTGGATTCTTTGTTAATACAATGAATGATAAGTTGTTCATATAAATTTTTATAGGTTTTTTTTTTATGGCATTTGCAACTCTTTCAATAATCTTCTTAACCATATAGAATGACAAACACATGTTGTAGCAGTTACTTAGCTTCATAAATTGATAATTTGTTTGATTTTCATTCATTCATCATAAACTAGTAATATGATGGCTTTTTAATCCTTTTCTATTACTTGATTGACATTCTTTTCAATCCTTTTAGTTGGATTCCAACAATCCCTAACATAATGACTTATTTTTTGACAATTATAATACTTAATTTTTGTGTCAAACCTCGGTCTCGGATTATTACTGTCTGTGAAACTGATCAACCAGTTAGTTTCAATCGATCGATCGATCGATTAATCTGTTAGGACTATCTCTACCTCCTTTTCCAAATCTACCTTTTCCTCCTCTTCCTCTACCTTGCCTAGTTCTCTACCTTATTGGGTATATCCAAAGCCATCTTACTTTTTTTTTTCCTAGAGAATTTTGAAAAGAGTGTTTGTGCATCTATATCTTATTGAATTTTGTTGACTCTTTCTTCATGGACTTGTAGTTTTCTAGTGAGATTTTGAATTGTCAAAAAATTCATATTTTATATAACTCCTTTATCGCGACCACTACATAGTGGAATTTCTTTTGTAGTGAGTGTAGGATCTTTTATACCACATATGTTTTTTCCATCTTCTCTTTATATCATTTCATCTGATTGTATATGGCCAACATTCTAGCAAAGTAATATAAAATACTCTCTAATTCAAGCATATGGAATTTTTTAAAGTTATCTTATAACTTTTATAGGTGTATCTTTCTTACATTATCAGCTTATTGGTTTGATTGCTGCAAAACTTGATGTGCTTACTTGGCGGTGGTTGCATTAGCCACTATCTCAAAAAATGATATCATTAAAACATTAATAGATGATTATGATTGCTTGTTAACCCTTTCTTCGTGTCTTTTGCAAGGCCTATCTTTGGGTTGAAGTCAATGTTATTGTCTTTTCAATTGTTTCCCACACATCTTAGAAATCTAGTCAAACTTTCACACGAATATACCAAATTAAAAAAAAGAAGTGATCACAATAACTTGAAAAAAATATTTTTTTAAAAGGAAAAAAATGATGTAGCTTAATTCTTAGCCAATTAAATATGAAATGATGAAATTAGGTAAAAAAAGAGCAAAAAATTGGTTTGGGTCAACCCGCTTAGCATGATAAACCTATAACTTAGGTAATAAGAGGTAAGCCAATCTGAGTTAATATGCAACCCAAGTCATGAGATTAGGATAAACTGATAAAAAAAACAAAGAAAATCATAAACTCCATTACAAAAAAAAAGAAGCAAAACTAATATTGAATGATGAAATCATAAAAGAAAATAAGTAAATAAAAATATCAACTCGAATTAACTATTCAAACCTGTAATCTTAGTCATTAAACTAAAAACATTATATTTGAAAAATTTACAAAACTCAATTCTTGACCAATTAAATGTTAAATGATAAAATTAAAAAAAATCTAATTATACAAAAATACCCAAAACCAAAAATAACAATTCAAAAAATAAAAGTCAAAATTAAAATAAAGAATAAATTAGATGACAACTATAAGTTTTTGACTCAAGGGTGAATTTGAAAATAAAAATCAATTTAACAAAAAGATAAAAAAAACAATAAAAAAATAAGAAACAAATTAAAAAATGTATCCCAAATTGAGATTGAAGAATGAATTTAAAGATAAATAAAAAATTAATAGAAAAACCAAGAAAAAATTTAAAAAATAAAAACTAAAATTAAAGTATTAATAATTAAGAGAATAATTTTAAAATTTTGAATAATTAACATGAATTCTAAAGAAAAAAAAATAATGAAAAAAAAGTTCTGCTTGCAATAAATCATCCTGTTATTACCACCATGCAATTCCCAAAAGATAAAAAAAATCCAATAACACGATAAAAAAAAAAAAAACCATAAGGGGTCGAGAAATTTTACTATCAATTAATTTAACTATACCACCGACATCAAGGCAACTATTTATTAAAAAGAATAAAAAATAATTATACTCACGATAATAAATAATAAAATATTATCTATAGGCATAGTGTTTTAACCTTTTTGTTATTTTATTACCTGCGGTCATTTGTTAGTAGACCTTCTATGTTATTTGCAGAAGATAGTTTAGTCTTTACTCTTGAGTTCCCAAACTCGAAAGTAGCTCGGCTCAATCCAGTCTCCTACCCGTTACTCGGGAACGCAGTAACTCAGTACTCAGTCTCTCTTTGAGTTGGAACTATGTCAACAAAAATAGCCCTTAAATTTTCTCGATCCAACCGTATCTATCGCCCCTCTGTAAATCTCTCTCTCTCTCTATAAAACACAATTTTATTCAGTATAATTTTAATTTTAATTAGTGATTGATGGTTATCATTGCTTTAATTAATTAATCAATCAATTTCAGGAACCTGTTGAAGGCAAAATCGTGATTGAATCTTCATCCTCAATTTCTCACTATGGAATTAGCCTCTCCGTCAACGGATCTGTTAACTTGCAGGTTCCAGGATAATTTCATCAATCTCTCTAGCTCCCTCTATCTATCTGTTTGATTTGCCAGAAAACTTTTTAAGATCTGATTTGGTGTGGTGTTTTTGTTTTGAAAGCAGGTTCGAGGAGGATCAGCTGGAGTTATTGAATCCTTTTATGGTGCTGTCAAGCCAATCACCATCGTGTATGTTACTCCTAGTATTTTTGCTCTATCTTCTTTTAAATTACTGTATAAAGTGTGCTTAATGTTAAATAATAGTTGATGCATTAAAAGAGAGAGAGGAAGAAAAATGGCTGCATTTCTGTTTTTCTCATAAATATGTTTTGCTTTGTGTTAATGTTTGCTGAAATTGAACTCGGTATTAAACGAGTGATCAAATCAGTGGACTTGGTGTGTGATTATTCATGTATTGTATTTAAGCAATGGATTAGCAGAGTATTACCCTGATTGCTGCGAATGTTACTTAACATGGAAACAGGAATAAGAGCATTGAGGTTAAACCGTCGGGAAAGATTGGTTCAGGCACAACTGAGGTATTTATAACAAACTCTCAAATTTAGTTTGATTTTAGCTTTTTGATAGCTGATGAAATATTTAATAGAAGAACTTATAATGTGGGCTAGTCTTGTCCCTCGGAATTCGTTTTTTCATGAAATATCATCTCCTTTATGCTGGTGTTATCAATCATTTTATATACCCTTTTTCACCTGTGATAGTTTTATTATTATTATTATTATTATTATTATTATTATTATTATTATTATT